TAACCACATGCTTTCAGCTCCGCAGCCATTGAAGTGTTACATCAGCAGTGCTAATGTATCATCAGTCACATAGGGAGTCATAATTTTCCTTAGTGTCCTACCATTCCTTCAAGCTTTTTTTTCAAGGACACTATTCTTTATTTCACCTTAGATAAACTCAATGCTGACATAAAATATAATCCAAAAGTACAACTGATGATACTTTAAATGTAAGCATCTCTAATACCCAGTTAACTTTTATTAATTATGAATGTCCTTGACACATTATTAATTAGTACACCAACTGTATTAATATTAGAACTTCTCCCCATCTACAAGCCAACCAGGGCCAGCAGCAGGTAGGAAATTAAATGGGGAAAACTTGGCAATCTCTTCTCTGTCAAGCTTTTTAGTATCATCTTTTGCCTGGGGTATTTCCACACGCTGATGTGGGACAGAAAAGCCACAAGACTGATTGTACAGCTTTGATTCTCCACAGGCGATTGTTCCTACTTGCATGGATTGTTTCCCACAGGGTCCCCTCCCACTACCCTCGACACACTAGCATTGCCTATGCCCTGATGGTACACTGCCCTCAGCATCCAGAACCCTCAGTGGTCCACTCACATGCACATCTCATTGCAGGAAGGTTTCTCTGGCAGATCTTAACATGACTCTGGCTTTATTTCCCTTCAGCAAATAAATTCTTTGCTTTCCTGTTGTCATGTAATTTGTTTTCCTAATAAAGTATATTCATTCCCCTCTCTTTCAATTCCCAGGTCGTTTTTACTTTCCTAAGCACAAGGCAAACATTGTTACATGAAACCCCCAATCATTGTCTGGAAGAATGCTGGATATTATTATTAGCTCTGGGCAAGCAGGAGGCTCTGCTCACCAAACCTAGTGAGGGAAAGTCAATTTTCCAGTCCTTTTTATGAGAAGACTATGATGGTTCACTCTCTCCAAAGAATTTCTTTGGGCAGACTTTTCCCTTCACCCCTCACTGCATAAAATGACGTTTTAATAAAAATAAATACCAGGTTTTGACTGATGTCTCAAAGGTTTTTTGTTAATTGGCATTTTTATTATAATTTTTGAAATTTCTTCTGGCCAAGAAATTCTCATGTAATCCTAATATCATCATTGAACTATGTACTTCCATTTCTCATTATATATGTTTTGGGATGTTTAGAAAAGAATATGACAACACAGAAATCAGTAAAAATAAAAAAAAATCTGTCTAATTTTTCTGTGTCTGTACCTAATCAGCATGATTCATACAACTAAACCATAAATTATTTGAAACCAAGACCAAGAACCTGTAATTTGGTTTAGACTTTCTTATTTAGTCTATTCCCTTACTGTTTTATGTTTTTCCTCAAATTTGGATGCTTTGGGTACACACCTATACACATATTCTGAAATTTGTATTTAAAACCATTATGCTTTTAAATATCTTCCCTGAAAAAAAATCGCACAATATCTTGGCCTAGACACATTTTGACTTAGCTCTGAAACTCTCCAAAGACCCCATGACTCCCAATTCTTATCTGGATAGCTTACTATTTTCTAAGCATTTTATTGTAGTACATTTTATTCTTACATTAGTACTAGGAGATTGACACTACTATAATGATTTACTGTAGTTCAGGTCCTAGTGAATGTTTAACAACTATATTGAAGGATGAAGGGCAAGTAGGTCTAGGCAATAATTTTAACTGTAAATCCATTTCTGTTGTGAAAATTTTCCAGCCATAGCCTTTTGAAAGCTCAGTATGTGATGAATTTGAACATAAATTTAAGTGATGTGCACAATTGACTTTGATGATTGGGTTAGACAACTACCAGTCTATAAAATTAGGAAATCCAGGCACTAAGGCTGGAAGAAAGGAAGCAGTGAAGTGGCATTTTTTTAACCTACTACATGGTTCAGCATCTATTCTACCTACATCGCTTGATCCCACTTTCTGCTAATCAATCAATAAGCTCTCATAAGACATGAATGACTCAAAATTCTTCATTTTAGCACCAATGCAGTATGCAAATTCCATTGGTATTGTTTTGATAAGTAACTTTTGTTGAGCTTCCTTTAAAACCTTGAAAACAAAGTTTAAATAAACTATCTTCTATAAAAGCATTAGAAAATCTGAGTTGATTCTAGAAGGAAATAAGACTCTAACTGTAAATTGATTCCATTTTCTTTAAGCAAGAAAATAAGGAAATTGATTGTATTTCTTTTTGTTCTAGTTCTTTTTCCTTCTTACATATATTTCCAGTGTTGCAAGTCCCAATATTGTATTTAATACTACATTTGTGGTAATTGGAAGAATCATTTAAAGCATATCTATGTGATGATAGAAAAGTTATCTGTCTATAACACTTTTTGATATTAGAAATGTCAAACAAACCAATTCCAAAGATCTGTGGAACATAGCTCACTTACATTACTTAATGACTGCTGGCTTGTTGCTTCTGGTTCTACGAACTATGTATATTTAATATATGTAATTTATAACCCTTATTCCTTTTATAGAGCACTAAACATGATGGAGAACTTGGCAAGAGCTCAGAACATCTCAAACACATCAATAACTTTCCATTGTTCATCAATTATATAGAATACATTTAATACTGTCCTAAAGTCTCCATTAAATAGTAAACATTTCATTTATTTGCTTTATCTATGTAATCTCTATCCCATCTAATAAAGCAGGGCAGGTTGGCAATTCCAGGGAATATATAACAATACTATAGCAAGCATATGTTAAAATAACTGTAGTTTTCTTATAATTTTTTAATAAACTGAATACTTAATTAAATCACCTGCTAAGAAATGAATGAACTTTAAATTTTGCTGGGTATATTTATTTTTTCAAAGACACGGTCTCTCATAATTTTATTTTTGGTGGCATTATGGTGATAATCAGAAAAAACATTGAAAATTTAATAATATCTACTCATAGTGTATCTTAGTTACCTTCCATTGCAAACTAATTAATGAATAACCAGTATTTACTGATTTGCAAATGTGAATGTTCACTTTTAATTTTCTCCCCCCTCCCTGCATGTTTTAGAAACAGTCCCTAAGTATTCTTAGGTTTTTAAGTTCATGTCTTAAATGAGTTTCTTCTGTAATTCATATAATAGAGACTATCCCCACCTTTAATTTGGTGATTACTTAGATATAGTTTAGCTATTTTCTTGTTCAATCTTTGCACTGTTAGGTTGCTCATAATTCTGTATAGGGAATTGTTTGTATATTACCTCATGTTTTTAGCTGGCTTCACAATTTGAGAGTATGTGTGTTCCTTACTAAGTCTTAGAACTTTTATCAGTAAATAATACTGATGTGTTCATTTCACAATTTACAAAGGTTTGCCTCATGTGCTGGTTGGTGCCCTTGTACATTTATATCAGTATAATATTTCTATCACTGATTTTATTGCAATTTGCATGATTTTCTATTAATTTCCCAATTATCCTCATCATACAGTAACAGCCTGAAAGAACAGATTAAAATTTAATTCAACAAAACATATGTTTTGTTCATTTTAACTAAATGAAACATAATCAAATTTCCTTGTCTACTTTATTATTTTGGTCAATTATAGAGCAAAATTAAATATAGAATTTGAATGCATAATAAATAAATATCAACATTATGATAATTTTGTTTGTGGGATTAAAGATTGACACTATTAACATAAAATTACACACTGAAATTGTAAGGTGTTTATATTTATTAGCATTCTCTTCACTTCACTATTCTTTTTTTCATTTGAATTTGATAAATTCTGATTAAATTTTTCTGTGCCTTAGACCTCATTTAGTTTGTGTGTGTTGCTTAGAAATTCTTCTTGGACTGTTATATTGTGAAAATTTGGGATTTTTGATATTTCTTGTTCATGTCTTTCCCAAAGCATTATATTAGAGAAAAAACATAACTTTCTTAATATAATAATTGTGTAGTTTTCTTGTTACGTATAAGTTGTATCCGAAAGATCCCAATGTCTTTCACTTTGCAATTAGCATTTTTTTCATATCTGTATTTACTTATATAAGCCAGACAATTTCACAGGAACCCTATGATATTGTCTTCTGCTTCAAAATATACCATATTATACAAGCCATTTTTCTAACATATTGGTCTGTCGACCTTGCTTTGAAATCATACGTAGTGATACTTAAATATGCATCCCTATTTCAGCATTACAGAATTCTATAAACAATTTTTCTGGACTATGCTCAATTATACAACAAGCTGGCCTGTAAATATGATATGCTTTTCATGTATTGAATATTTTAATAATATTCCTCCTTGACCTTGGAATACACTCTTTTCATAAATTCTTTAAATTCCTCTGTGACATGCTCGAGAATTTCCTGTCAAATGCTCATTCTACACAAATATTTCCCTGATTGTCCCATTGAGATGTACTTACTATTTTCTACTGGTAAAAATGATGAATTCAAGAACTGTCTTACTTTTAGAATTAAATTTTACCTTATAGATGCATGCACCTGTTTGCCATTGTGTGTTTTTGCATATTTGAGAAGTGTGGTGATACATATTTTAATTTCTAACTTTTTGGCATCAACCAAGATGTCAGTATGTCTATATGCTTATATTAATACACTCGTGTGTATTATATATGTGTGTGTGTGTGTGTGTGTGTGTGTGTGTGTGTGTGTGTGTAATGTAATATATTGAAGAATATAATATAGCTACTACTATGATTGTCATAGACTGTGGAGACAAAAATCAGAACATATATTTTTTGGGATGCAAAGTATTTTATTTTTCAAACTTCTAAAGTTTGAACACAAGAGAGCCTGGCTTAGATGAGTTTCCAAACTGAATGCGCATGCTTGAAGCTCATTTTCTTGCTGACAAACAGTTCCTAACACCCTAGGCGGGCGCCTATGTTCTGATCTGTGAATGGTAAGCTGACCATCGTCTGCTGGTAACATCCCTCTTTTCCTTGATAAGGGCTTTACAAACATTAGGCATTGTTCTAGTCTTACACAGCCAGTGTTGTTCCGAATGTCTCCTGGGAGGCATACACCATGTACAGAAATACATCTTCATCTTTCTCACTTTCGTACACTTCAGAGATGGGCATGGACAGACTCACCATGCTGTACGGATTCACAATGAGGAAGAAAGCTTTATTGGCGTTAAACTGTAGGCGCCTTCTCATAATCTTGATGAGCTCACTCATGTTCACATGATCGGGGACAAGGAACTTGGTTTTGTCCAGGACAGGCAGTTGCTTCTCACCCTTACATCGCTCAGTTATCACTGGGATCTTGGTGGGGTGCTGCTCCCGGATGAGCCAGACATCTTCCATTCTTTGTTCAAAACTGCAGTGCTGCTTGAAGGTCTTCTCAGACGGCATGGTGTGGGGGTCAGGAGTCTGAGGCTCTAGCTCCCGCGACGGACACTTCCCTTGTGTCTCCTTAGCTGAACATATCATATTTTACTCGGGATAACTTAAGAGAACATCCAGTTCTCTTTTGTGACAAGTTATTTTTCTTCTTCTGTGTGACTGAGTGATAACATATTTTGTTTTTTTTCTCCATTCAAAAGTCCCAATCAAGCCAGGCGTTGGTGGTGCATGCCTTTAATGCCAGAACTCGGGAGGCAGAGGCAGACGGATCTCTGTGAGTTTGAGGCCAGCCTGTTCTCCAGATAGAGTGCCAGGATAGGCTCCAAAGCTACATAGAGAAACCGTGTCTCGAAAAACCAAAAAAAAAAAAAAAAAAAAAAAAAGGCCTAATCTATTAATTTGAATTTAAAAAACCACATTATTTCACTCATACTTAAAATTTAAAAGATGATCATCTAGAATTTGATGAAGCACAATAGTTGTAAGAAATTTGAGAAAGTTGTGAAAATGGGGAAAATAGGAACTTTTTTATGTTTTAGTTGGCCATGAGTTTGACTTGGAAGACTCAGAAATGAATACCATGAGTTTTAAATTTTCCTAGGCTAAATAATAACAGTTTGTCTCAGAAAACAGTGAACAAACAATACTGACACGATTTGAAGTCTATCTAATGCCTCATGTATGAATTAAGAATGTCAAAATGACCTGGGTGTTGGTAGTATATGCCTTTAATTCCAGCACTCAGTAGGCAGAGGTGGGCAGATCTCTGTGAGCTTGAGGCCAGCCTGGTCTACAGAGCAAGTGCAAGGATAGGCTCCAAAGCTACACAGAGAAACCCAGTCTCAAAAAAAAAAAAAAAATGACAAAATGCCAAGACACTCCATCTGTTTCTCTATTTTTAAATTCAAACAATATATACTCATAAAATACCTGGATTCATTTCGTATATAATTTTAATTATCTAGTCATTTTACTTGATATTAAAGTAATGGAAATCATTATGCTTTTGAAGCTTATTAATGGGTGGAATCCCCATATAGTTACCTCTGTTTGTAGATGATATATAACATAACTGTAATAGGGAATAGTTTTGTAAAGAAAACACTTTGACTTCCTGTAGCACCAAGTACCATGCTTTATCCTATATTAGCTGTATTTCTGAGCCAGCATTGCTAATTTTTTTCTTGGATGTGTCCATAATAGTAATTTTTATCTAAAATACTTTTATAAACTGAATTGTTCAAGCTATTAAAGTTTTTCACACGTAAGAATTAAAGAGAAAAAAAGAAAGGAAGGAAAGAAGGAAGGAAGGCAGGCAGGAAGAAGGAAGGTAGGATGGAAGGCAGAAAGAAGGAAGGAAGGATGGATGGTAGGATGGAAGGCAGGAAGAAGGAAGGAAGGAAATAAGAAATGGAGAAAATGAAAGAGGGAAGAAGGAAGGAAGGAGGGAACAAAAGAGTGGAGGAAGGAAGAAAAGATAATTAAAAGCTTACATTGATGGAAAAAGTACAAGAAAATATGGCTATAAACTAGAGAACCAAAGGCATTATATGTTTCTCTTTTAATTTTCTATTCCTTGTAGTAACAGTGTAAGGTGAAAAATATTCCACATTATAAATCATGACTTTAATGAATTATTTAACACATTTGAACCACAGAAATTGTGTGCTATTAACATAGATGGCATGGTATTTTGAAATATGTACACCTAATGGATTGCTAAATAGAGCTAATTACCATGCATTAAAGTGTGATGGTTTCTAATTTCCTTTCATAATATTTGACTGTTAGACTTTTATGGATCATGAATTGAAACCTTTACAGAAATGAAACATACTTCGATTATTAGAAGTTGAAACAACCCTGTAAAAATCAGAAAAAGAATAAAACATTTGAGTAGAGAACTAGTACATATTTTCTTAAATAAACACATGAACAATCACACTTAAATAAGAGGAAAAATATTCTGCATTTCAGTTCATTTAAAACTGATCAGGCAAGTACCTCCAAAATGATTAGATCCTGCTCACTCTAAAACCATGAATGGAACAACCCAACCTTAGTATTCTTTTTCTATGGAACACAGAATTATCCTTGCAAGCACATCAGAAAATGAAAAAGTAGTAACTGGTGTTAAATAAATGTTATACTCAAAGCAAAACTGGATGAAGCCTGAGTGAGAAACATCATTTTCTAGAAGGGAAACAGTAATAGAGAAGAAATAGGTGAGAATCAATCCATTATCCCAGAAAGTAAAGCAATTCTCACCTATTGTCAATCTACAATGAGATAAACATCAGAATTCAAGGATGTTCATAATAATATCGTCACAAATACCAAATATCTAAAAATGGTTCAACAAATGCACATGCTAAGATGAGTCATAATATCCACATATTACAATTATATATTATAAAAGGGTGGTAGCATATGCTTAAGATTATATCTTATCCCATGTTTTATGCATTTAAATTAATTTTTAGTTAACAAACTATCAAGGCAATACACTAACAGGTTGTTAAAATGCAGTTTTAGTTCAATTTAATAGTATACGTATCATTAAACAATTAAAGACTCATCTATTTACTGTGCTGTATTTTGATAGTGTTCTGACAAATAAAGGTTACTTGTAGTCAGAAGGTGGAGCTAGCCACTATCCAACCAAAATTAACCACAGGATTTTTGGAAGACTGAGGACAGATAGAACAGGAAGTATTCAGGTAGGGCCCTTTTGGAGGAAGGAACAGAGCAGGTAGGAGAAGACTTGTTGCTTATCTGCCTCTCTGACCCTTCAGGTTCTTACCCTGATATCTGACTCCTGAATTTTTATTGGTAAAGAATAATTAGATTAATGCTTTACCTATATTCATACCATTAAGTATTACTTCCTTTAAAATTTAGGGACATTTTTAATCCATAATATTTGGAGGTGTTTTTACTTGTTGCAGCATTAATAGATGACATGGTATATTTTATTATTTTATTTTCTCTTTTACTATTATCCTTTAGAAGCCTGTGTTGTTTTCTAATGAGGAACAGAATGAGAGTGGATCTAGTTGGGACAAGAGAAGGGGAGGAACTGGGACGAATAGAGGGGGGGACCATAATCATGATACATCATGAGAGAGAAAAAATATGCCATGGTATTAATTGTCTTCAAAAACATTTGCATAAATGTTTAACACATAGCTGACATACTTTTGGGGAATCGAGGTGGGTTGTCATTGACGTCAGTGAGGGTGATATTGACAATTGTTGTTCCAGCTAGGCCACCGAGTTGTCCTCCCATGTCCTTCGCTTGAATGAGGACCTGGTACTGCTCTTTGACTTCTCTGTCCATGTTTGGCAATGCTGTTCTAATAACACCTTTGGGGGAAAGTGATAACAGAGAATCAGTATCACAAGCAGAATTCTTCCCCTGGCCCAAATAGACTGAAATAGAAGAAACAGAATAGAGTTATGCCTAGATTTTTTAGCAATAAAAGTTAAGTAAAATTTAATATCAAAATTAAAATAAACTAACTACCCTAAAGTTGAAATGTAACTGGTTTTTTGTTTGTTAGGTTTTCTTTTTTTTTTTTTTTTTTTTTTTTGGATTTTCACAGCCACATCTTAAAATGTAGCTATGAGGAAAACAAGAAAATGACAGTGTACCTCAAAATCATCTCTCCCCAAGTAAATTAAAGGATCCGATTTATAAATTCAAGTCTATGATAAGAAGAAGAAATTGTTAAAACCTTTACATTAATTTATAGGCATGGAAAAATTTAAGGAAATAAAGTGAGTTGAATATATAATTCCAAAGACTATTATAATCTCCGTTCTTTAATGTTTACAATAAAAAATCTACTTAATTTAAATATACATAAAATATGTTATTTACATAATATTTCTATTTTTTATCTTTCTGGAGTTTTCCCAATTATTTTAATTGAAGATTTTCACCCCTCCCACTCCCTTAGCTATCATCAGATATTATTTTTGTGGTGCTTCTGAGACTCCTTCTATCAAGGTAATCCAGTGTCCAGGATAGTATCTTATTTTTAAAATTCACTCAGTATGTGATTGAATAAATGAATGACTGGGTGAGTGAAATTGAGCTTGCAGTTTTGAATCTTATATCACATATAAGTATTTCCATTTGACTGTTATTTCTCTTCTTGTATCCAGGTAGAGGTACTACTTTATATTTTTATTTATTCATGGCAAAAAAATGTGAGACTTTCAGAATCATTTGGAAGATGAATTATAAATTTTATACCAATTCTGATAGCTAGTCAAGAGTTGTAACAGGTATAGATTGAAGAACCTTTACTTTCAGCACACTTGACTTCAATGATGGCATGGCATAACTTAAATAAAGAAGCATGTATGAGTAATAAAATGTCAGCCATCAATATAGTATATAGCATTCAAATCGGTGTCCCAGCATACACCCATATATCTGTACTTGCTACCATCTACTTACCCCTTGCTATATTTTTGCTAATGCATATTGAACTGCAATCTGATATTTCGTCTGGCACTTGGCAGGAAATAGTTACAGAAAAGACATCCATCATTTTTGGTCCTAATGCCTTATTCATGAATTGGTACTGACACCATTTTGATCCAATCTGTCTCCTCTTCAGCACAGGCTTCTGATTCTTTATTTTCAATGTTTCTAAAACTAAGACTTTTAAGCTCTGCATCTCAGTGTTATTGTCTTACATGCCTTACACTATGTGGCAGCTATATGATGGTCAGTGTTCACATTTTCTAGATAAATCCTTGGTTTTGATATTTGTAATTTGCTGTCTCATCGTATTATTTACTGTGTATGACTTTTACTCAGTTCACAATATAAACAGTCCTCAATTTTCAATGTATGTATAGTTCTTACTCTACATCATTTATATCCCTACATTATTCATCTCCCAGGATGAAAACTTTACATAGCGGATAGAAAAGAAAAGAATGTGGAAAAAAAGAAGGGGCTGGGGCATGGGAATGAGGAGAAAGAAAGAAAACAAAAGAGATACGGAATATTATTTCTGGCCTTACTCATTCCATGGCTTACTTCCTTTTATTAATAAAGCTATATCTTGGGTTCATTCTAGACTAATATATTTATAATGACCACATTGTTGTTAATATATTTAAAAAAGTTATTTCAGTTATTGGTTATAGACATAATCAGATTGTATATTACACATAGATACTTATTAAAACAATAATTAGGTACTGTGCAGGTGGCTCAGGGGGAAAAGCATTTTCCATTAACTTGTCATAGGATTTGGCTCCCAGGTATTTACAGAACTGCTGGGTGAGTTTGATAGACCATGTGTAATCCCATATATACAGAGAACACTGGTTTCACAGATCTGCTGAATAAGTGAACTTTTCATTCACTTTAGAGATCCTACCTCCACACATAATTCAGAGAGGAATAGAGAAGTCATACCATGTAGACATCTAGGTTCCACATGCATACAAACAAACACATGTGGTCATATCACACACAATTATAGCATATACAGTTGCTAAATTAGTGAAAGTATTTAAATCTAGCACAGATCATTTATTCTATTTACTGTATAGTACATTCAATAATTTCAAACTGAAATTGTGATGAGACACTTAAAATTTTATTAAATAAATGCTTGTAACACAGCATGTGTGAAAATGTCAGAGGATAACCCACAGGAATCTGTTCTGATTATCTACTTTTACCTTGTGCATTCTGGAGACAAAATGATACAATTCAAGTTCTTAGGGTAGGCCTGACAGCAAGCACCCTTAGCACTAAGGCCATTTTGCTAGCATTTTCCCATTTAGTTTACAAGGATCAACTATATTCTTCTATGTATATGTATGTGCAATTGAAAATGAGACTGAAACTTTTCTTTCTAAAACTCAGTTTAATCATTGGTAGCCTTTTTACTCATTTAGAAAAATCAATTCTTTTTTTTCTACATAACAGCTCTATCACTCCCCAGATACATGTACACCTCACACCAGAAATACTTGTTTTTTACTTTAATTTATTTTCTTCATTTATTTTATGCATGTATATATGTGTGTGTGTGAAAGCACGTGGATATGCATGCATGTGTATGAAAGACACAGCTTGTGTTTGGGAGTTAGAAAACAACTTTTGGAGTTAGTTTTCTCCTTCCACCCTTTGTTCTTTAGGGATTGAACTATAATGTAACAACAAAGGTCCATAATTGCTGAGCTAACTCACTCACTCAATATTTTTCTTTCAAGACTAAACACTTCATGACCATTCTGCTGATGTTTGTATCTCCTCACTTGTTGCAGGATCCCAAAGGTTGTCCCTTGTGGGTGGGGGAAAGTAGACATAATTCCAACAACACATGCATCGGAATCAAGTTGAAACAACAAGCTCAGTTTAATTCTAGGAAGAGGTAAGCCTTCTATATCACTCAAGCCTGAAATCCACTGAACTGGCATATACTGAGATTATGTGGTCGCTGTCCATAGGTTTGAGTCATCTCTCATCCCACTTGGCTGTTGTTATCAAGACCCTCTGGTTTCATGAAATATCTACTCTGCATGCTCTTACTATTTATTAGTCTAGGCCAGATGTCAAGGGATATTTATTGCAAGTGCTCTAGGCCAACTGTCAGGCCTATTGAGGCTTAGTTATCTCACATTCATTCTATTAACAAGTTTATCAATTTATTCAGAGTATGTGTTTGCATGCATTGGTGTGTAGATTCCTTTGTGTAGTGGTGTTCATAAATATCAGTTTGTGTGTATGGGGTGGGCAGAGTGCCACCTTGAGTGTTTTTCCCAGGAGTTACCTTTCAAATTTCTTGAGACATGTCTTCTCTCCAGGACCTATATATTTCTGACAGCTCAGAAAGCCCAAGGAGCTGCAATCCAGCTTAGGGATAACCACTGTACTTGGCATTGTATGTATGATATGGATATCAAACTCAGGTCCTTAGGCTTGAGCAGAGAGAACTTCCTAAGTGTTTTGTTCACTCAGGCCCTGCATACCATCATTTCTAAAACTCAGACCTTTGTGAATTCTTGAGTTCTCTTGAAATCTGAAGTTGGAGGATTGAAGCATATAATATTCTATTTTGTATCCATGGTCATACAATGTTACTGCACATGTTGCAAAACAAAGAACACAGTATGTGGCTTTCTTTTAATGGTTGGGTATTTTCTTTCACAAATATTTGCTTCTTAATAGAAATTTACTTCCTTTGATTTCCTTGCACTTGAATGCTCACAATAAATAATGTCTTAATTTTTCGTTGTAGTTCATTTCAGTCATATATACATACATATATGTGTGTTGTGTGTGTGTGTGTGTGTGTGTATATGTATATAATAATGACTACTTTGTATAGGTAAAACTTTAATTTTGTCATTGAAGGGAGAAATTATTGTTTACCTTACCAGTATTTACTTACATATCTGAGTTCTGAAAGATTGAATTTTGAACTTAAACCAAGGCAATATTCAAGTCATAAAGCATCATAAAGACTCATATAATATTTAAAGCATTGCATCAACTCATAAAATGTCGCCATTATTGAAAATTTAGTATATGACCTTAAGGACTTAAGGAATTTTAAGCCTGAAAGCTGCCTTATAAATATCAATGTTTGTACTTGCAGATAAATGCTACTTTCATCCCTAAGAAACTCTTCTTTTGTTGCTTTTTTTGTTTTCTTTATTAATTTATTTTATTTTTTTATATTCCAATTCCAGTTCTTGTCTTACAAGGAAGGACAGTAAATGTGGAGGATGAATGTTCCTTAATATTGTCATATCAAGCAATACTTGAGTACTTATCTATAAATAAAGCAACTGCATGATCTCTGAAGTTCAGTCCATACCACTGAGGACAGACTCACAAAGATTTTTGAGTCAGAAGATCAGGGAAAATGCTTGAAATGTTATTTCCAGGGTATGACACAGCTTTTGCAATCTTGGACTCCTAGCAAATGGTCTTACGAACACTGGGCCTACATAAGACTTATAGTGTTACCAGATACTTTCATCAGGGATATACATGGGACCCTGTCCTGCCACACCCTGCTTTGCTGAACTGTTGACTAATGGAAGATTTGGGGGAATTATTGTCTTCAGTTTTTTGTTTTTGGTTTTTTTTGTTTTGTTTTTGCATTCCATGGAGTCCACTATGCTCCAATAGATTATTTCAAAACCACAGCTACAGAGATGACTCTCACTGATTGACTGACTGAATTACTGACTAAATTGCAAAAGAAAATGAAGACATGAGTGTGGCAAAGATGTGTATGGAGGGAGGAGAGTTGACTGGATGGGAGAGAGATAACAAAGGATATAGTGTGAAAGCAAACACTGCTGATTTTGTACATGCA